ACATAACGTAGTTAAGTAGAAGAACATCTTCTGCTGCCAGCGTTTGAAATCAATCCCGGAAAATTTTCCGGGTTTTTCTGCCGGTGCCAATGCCGGTGTTCGGCTTGTCGTTGCATTGGCAGTCGCCATCGGAACAGCTTGGTTTTCGTTTTCAGTCATCATCTTTTCTGTATCAAATTATCAAATGACTTTATTCACCAACACTTCAATTACCTAATATTTTTTGTATTTGTTGGAATTTAAACCTAAAACCTTATAATTTTTTCTCACTTCATTAACATTAAGCCATACCTTTAGGTGCAATTGAAAAATAAGACAGAGCTAACATTTTTATTTTATTTTAGAATAACTGAAAAAATTTATAAGTATTATTTAATTCATTGCTTCATTCTCAAAAAGGAACAATGGAGCTCGCGACTGACAAAAATACTAGTTTTTGTGGAACTGCAAACGTCACTTCTTCAAATGTTTTTATAAAGAAAATATACCTATTTAAAAATTGACAATGAGCGTATCAATAATAAAAACCTTTTTGTGTGAATAATAAAAACCTTCGATAAAAAAAATGTTCAAAAGTAGTTGAAACTCGATTATTAAAGAATGATCTGTTTCACTCCTCAAATATATAATAGCATAAACGGGATCCAAAAAGTATCACTTTACTTGTATATACAATTTTCTGAAATTTCTAAAAAGAAATATTCAAACATATATAAATAATCAAAATTAAGTTTTGATATGATGTTTTTAACTTTTTTTTTGTTTTTAATTATTTTTTCTATCATAATTTTGTATAATATGTAAGTCAAAGTTCAATTTAAAATGATGCCTAAAATGTTAACATATAGAATAGAAAGTTAATGAGCACGTAATCAGAGACTGGGCCTGCAGGACAATTTCTCCTTAATCCCTCGCCCCAAACTTTTGCTTGTCAATTTGTTATAATGGCAAATGGAATAAAACAACAGCACGGACCTACACAATAGCAAGTTGTACATTTGTTCCCCCGAGAGAAAATTATGGCAATAATCTACAGAAATGCTGGTTTCAAGCACATGTGCAAATGATTCGAAAGTGCCAATCCAATCTCATCCAGCAAAACATATTGCCTCGTCCATTTGAATATCAAATTATTACATACTGTTGTAGATCGACGAAGAAAATTAGTGCATACGATTATGTGGATTCGCCAGATAATCGGCACAGCTGAAGAAAATGTTACACCACGGCTTTGCTACACTGTAACAAGATCTTGCAGTCTTCAACCAAAGCACTTGGAATACATAGTACTTCTTCCCACTCTAAGCAACAACTTCCATTAGTTCACGACTATAGAAGAAAATCATTTGATTAATTAGATCGAGCGATATGGATGATAATAGTATATGATATTTAAGGAATTCAGTGTACAACGATCTACTCCATAAGTAGAAATAAACAACTGAAGAAACTCTTAATCTAGCAAAAACTGGCCAAGAAGCTAGGGTAAATTTCTGAACAAACTAAAATCAATTTTAGGCAATATACCTCAACTGAACAAACTTAAATCTTTTCCCGGCATTTGGCGACATACTTTAGCCAGTAGCTCTGAATTTTTTAAAAATTTAAACAATAAATTATGCGAAGCTTCCAATACAATAATTCAGCCACAAACACCATTCTTCTAAATGCTAGTACAGGAAGCAGAATCGCAAATTATAGCTTACTGCCTGAACATAGACTTACAAGGCTAGACAAAAGTGCTTTATATCAAGCATTTGCGCCAGGATCACTGATCACTCCGAGGAAATCATCCTTTATTGTACCAATGCAGAACTGCAAAAAGGGGAAACCAATACAAAATGAGGGAGGCAACAAATGTCCATGTATGACGTAACACAAGTTAAATGTATAACTCACAAAAATCCTTGTTTTCGCTTGAAGTTATTACGTTCCTAATTCTTCATTTAAGGTTCCGCTCCATCTGGTGTCAAGTTTCACTTTCGTGCATTAATTATATCAGCAACATTCTTGTTACTTAGACATCAATCGTAATAAAAATATTTTTTCCACACTATCCATATATGCTTCATTTCTTGGAAAAACCCCAACATGCAGAGTTCTCTTGGTCTCAAGAGAACCATAACTAACCAGAATACAGTTTGGCATCTAGATACTCTTAATGAGTAAATGTAATGTAAACATGCTAAATGTCTTATACATTGTATCTCAACAGTGAGATGTCTTATTTTGTTTGGGACTATTGGTCATGATCATTTCCCTGTATGTGGTGATGTTAGTGCAACTTTAAACATGGATAATTTTAGCACAGCACTCCAGCATTTCTGAAAACTACACAGAATCCTTAAGACAGTGTTATCCCAAGGTTTCTTTGGGATTTAAGAACAAAACAAATGAAGAAAGGCACAAACGAAGACAAACAACAACAACAACAACAACAACCCAGTATAATCCCACTAGTGGAGTCTGGGGAGGGTAGTGTGTACGCAGACCTTACCCCTACCCTGGGGTAGAGAGGCTATTTCCGATAGACCCTCGGCTCCCCTCCCTCCAAGAACTCCCCACCTTGCTCTTGGGGTGACTCGAACGCACAACCTCTTGGTTGGAAGTGGAGGGTGCTTACCACTAGAGCAACTCACTCTTGTCGAAAAAGGCACAAACGAAGAAAAAATAAAAAATGTATATGTAATTTAAGAATAATAACTATCAACAAAAACCATTATTCTATGGATAAAAGCAGGGAAAGCTACAATCTAACTGGGGTCCCAATGGCGATGAGGGGCACGCCTTAGCACCTCAGCACTTGCACTGAAGTGCTGTCTAAACGAGACGAAGCACCATTCACCTAGTTTCTGGATTAAGTGTGCCTGCAAGCTGAGAACATTGCCCAAAAGGTTTTGATAATTACAGTTAACACCTCTGTATATTTAGAGATAGAGCAAGAACCATTTTCCCGATTCCTGTATTCTAGATAACTTAGTGACAAAATAGAGGAAATGTTTTGTCAATTTGACCTATGATCCTTTCTCCTTGACGAAAGAACAAACATAAGAACTCTTCACACCTTCTCATCATCCTTTCTCAATCAGAAGAGTGTTGTACCTGCCACCTGTCATTCAATAGGGACCCACACGCAACCCCCATGGAAAAAAGAAGCAGAATAGAACAGACTAAATAGTTGGCATAACACTAATATCCTCATAGCAGCTAAGTTGACCCAGACCATCACTTTTCTCCTCCATTGGCCCTTGAGGTCCCCTTCCTTATCACATAAATGCTGTCCTAGGCACTTGGCAACACCCTCCCCGAAAAAAGAAAACTACAACACTATGAAATGTTCTAACCACCACCTCTGCATTGCAGCCACATACCTCATACAGGATCCTGGGGGTGGGTGGGCTTTGGAAGAGGGTACTTAATGCATTTTTAAAGTTATGAGCAAAAGAGGCCATGACTCGATAGTCGATATTAAAAAACTAACGATCTGTGTGATAGACTGTAACAGCCATTTGCCGAAAACCATAGGATCATCTTGAGATGTTTAAATCTTGCAGGCAGTGATCCCACCCCCTTCCTCCAAAAAAAATAGAATGGGCCATCTTTATATACACAGGGATGAACCAGAATTTCAGGGCATCACTGAAGATCTCTGAAATTTCACAAGGTTATAAGGCAAGTCAATAACATACAATTTCTGTGGCATCAACACGAGTTCCAATTATCTTCAATCTAACTTCACTCTCCTTCTGAATTTTGACCTGAAAAAGATGAATTAGTCAAAATACTTAAAACATATCTACAGGCTGAAAATTTCTGAAAATGAAGAGAAAACTTGGTGAAGCGTGAAAATTTCATACGGAGCCATCGGAAGTTGTATAATTTGGTACATCTCCTGACTGAAACTCCATGTCATCTGGTATCAACTGCAGGAAAGCCAAGGGTCACACACAAAAAGAGATAGACAAAGGCCAACGTATAAGCTTTTACATGCATCAAATGGCCTGTATATATGGCCATTATAGAGAGAAAAGGACGGATCCATAATTTTTCTCAACCTAATCGCCCTTTTGACATCAGAAAAAACTTTCTTAATCAATATACTATTTCTTCTACGCATACATCTCCAAAATAGAAAATGGTACTCCCTCTGTTTCAATTTAGATGACACATTTCGCTTATCGAGAGTCAAGTTGACTAAATTTTGAAGCTAAATTGAATTAGTTCAACTCAGTTTTTTAAATTAAAATTTATATATACAAAAACTATACGAAAAGTACTATAAGTCGCAATTTTCTAATGTCAATATGATTTTTTTTTAAAATACATTTTAAAATGTTGGTCAACCTCACTTGTGGGATTACACTGGGTTGTTGTTGTTAAAATGTTGGTCAAAATTCATTTAGTTTGACTCTCGATAAGAGAAATGTGTCATATAAATAGAAACGGAGGGAGTAATAATTAGGATTCATTAAAGAAATCGAGAATCCATGCATGGGACAAGAAACCCTTCCCGCATTAGGCACTAATATATTTTAACGTCTAATTAATCAGGAATCATTCTAATTAAGAACAAAAACTAGTTGCTTTTTCTTTCCCTATAATTCAGTTGAAGCTGCAGCCCTATCCATTTGTTCATTCTACCAAACTTTATTTGTTTCTTTCCAATAATTCTTATGATGCTTTATACCCTTTACATATACATCATCTACACAGATACTCTACCATTAATAAGCAAGAAATATAACACAAAGAAAACAACTATAGTGGTCAAATAGCATAGACTTCCCAGAAAATGGGCCAAAATCCACAAAGGTCACACCATAGTGACTCAACATCATTCTACTGCTATCATAACTACTAGAAGAGCTTTCCAACCACCAAATTACAATAGAGAGAAGCATTGTGCAATCATTTCAATTAACTTCAAGTGTATTTTTATTCATTTATATCTAAAATGATCAACTGAAAAGAAAAGGAAAGGTATTTGGGCTCCACGTCCTGCTCATTCTATTCTCAAGATAAGATAAATCAACTTTGAAAGTATCCTTCAAAAGCTTAGCACAAATTTTAATCAATCCAAAATACATGGTCAGTAATTACGTGTATATATATACATTGTGTTCTCCATCCAACAAAAGTGAAAAGTTCAGAATACAATATCATGTATCCACTGTCCCAACGAAAGTGAGAAGATTCAAAGTACAAGAGTCAAACTAATGAATATTCAACCTCAATTCAAATTATTTAAATATCAAATTAGTCATTAAAAAAAACCTTTCGACTCACCAAATGTAAATAGGTCATGTTATTAGCAAAAGGGTTATTAGCAAAAGGGGGTATACTACTTCCTAGTTCCCAGTAGTAAGACAACTTCAAACTAGAGATCCCCTTTACTCAATAATAAAAAAAAAAAAACTAGAGATTCACATTAGAATAACCATTTGATAAGACGAGTCCTTTTTCACTATTAACTCCTCCATTCGTTTACTGAATTAGCACAAAGGAAACAAGTATGTAGAACAAAATAAATTAAAGAACCTCCATTTTACCTTTCAAATTTTAACTGATGCGTGACAAAAATTAGCAAAATAATGTTTTGTAAAAGAAATATGAGCCACACACATAATTTAAACCATGAATGGAGCAGAATATGTGCTAGTTTTCTGCTAAGCTAAGATAATGGACCTCAAGAATCGCGAAGAGTGCAATATATTCTGGCGTTTAACATTCTAGAATAAAAACCAACTCACATGGTTTGAAACGAAAATCTGCACAGGCCCTGCTTCAGCAAAAAATCCCATCTGCACTGATCCACAATAGTAAAATATCTACAGGTAGAGAAAAAATCTGTTAAACTAACATTAATTTAAGAAAAAAAAACACTCTTACCTTGTTAACCATGGTTACAACAGCTTCCAAAATCTCACCTTTGAAAGGTCGAAAGACAACACATTGATACTTCACCGGGAAAGTAACAAAACCAGTTCCATCACGAATTAGACCTTTACCAACGCTTTCAATCCCAGTGATGGCCACAATGAAACCGTGCCGACCGCTGAAGAATCCAAAATCGCAGGATATTTTTAAATGCTAAAACATCAATATATCACAAAAACTAAGCTGAACACAAAAGAGAAATTAAGTTCGTGGATGCCAAAAAGTGCCGCATCCCCTACTACTTTGCAAAATTGGTGCAGAGCGTATTTCAACATTTACAAATGTATAAAGTTTAATAAATAAATAAACACACACACACACATACATATATATATGTGTGTGTGTACGTGCAATGCACACAAATCTATTTTCTTTAGTATACATGCATTGCACGTGTGCCTAGCGTCAATCTATAAAATATGTGTACAAAAAGAACATGTAAATTAAGTTATCAAATGCTAGGTTTTAAAATGTTTACATTAAGTTAATACTTTACAATAACTAACTTAGTACATAGAAAAGCATACGGAGTTGTCATTTGCTTAAATGAATACCAAAAGAAAGAAAAATAATTAATCACAACTTACTTAGAATATATTTTGTCTTCTAATATTTCATCCTTATTGTTTAACGTTTGCATTTTTAACAATTTGACTCTTCTATACTATAACTCATTTATATGATGAATGTTGAAAAGGATGACTTGTTTTTTTAGCAAATAAGTTAATTCAAAGACTTTTTTTAGTTAATTAACTTAAGGACTTAATTATTTGTTCTTAGCGTTAAAGAGAAAATTTATTTTTGTTGATCCAAATCTTAATATTTCGCTCATCCCAAGTTTTAAACATTTAAGTATAATTATAATTTTTATCCAATAAGAATACTAATGTGCAGAATAATAAAAAAAATTCGCTATGACATATCACTTTTGGATTTTTAAGTTAGTACAACCATTAGTATTATTGAATCTTACCAACACTTCGCTTTCTTTTATATTCTTAAAATTAAAATATTTTCTTAGTTAAGCTTGATACTAGAATTTCAAAAAAAAAAAAATGGAATTGATTAACGTTTGAGATTACTATGGTTGTGCTTGCTAGATATTTCTTCTTACTCCCAAGCATGATTTAATAACAAAAAGTTTAATTGATATCAAAATTTTAAATATAAGAAAAATAATTGAATGACTATTTTTTGTTATTTAAAAGAAATACTTGTAAACCTTGAAAAAGGACTCCAAAAACGGGGAAGAAAAAAGAAAATAAGGACTCCTAAACCAAGAAAAGGAAAATAAGGACTACTAAACCTAAACTTTTATAACAAGAAGAAGAAAAAAATACTCGTAAACCAGTAAAAAATTACTCGTGAAATACTTGGAATTCAATACCTTAAATCTAAATAGAGTTTATATGAAAGACTCCAATTAAATAACATGATTTTCTAGAACAAAGTCTTAAGTATTACGGAAATAATTAAGAGATTGTTCCTAAATATAAGGGAAAAAATTAAATGAATATTCCTACCATTTAGGAAAATAATTTAAATTACTAATTTGTCCAGCGTGAAAGCTAGTTTTAAAGGGTAAAAAAGACGAACGGCATTTTGCTAAGGGCCTTCGTGCTTTTATATACACACACACACTTTCATATAGGGAAAAGGTCTACCCTAGATTGTTCAATTTTTTCTTCCATTACAGTTTTGGTCCATTTATGCCTTGTCATTAGCAAATTGTCTGCTCCACTGTAATGGATGTGCTCCACATGTCAAATTTTCAAGAAGAAAGGTCCAAGTTTACCCCTCAACTTTTTTGAATGATTCTAAATTATTCCCAGGTAGGAGCTCCGACAGGAGTCAGGGGCAAAAATAGATTTCTTCATAGCGGCAAGGATTAAATTAGTGTAAAGCACCATAAAAGTTCATAAGGTTTTAAAACTTTCCGTACGCCAACGACAATTGAAGATAACGTTTTGCTTGCCAAGGCTAACCACGGACGAGGAAAATATTATACGCGCATGATTTGAAGTGTATAACGATATTTGAAAATAAGTCGCTTGAGCACAGGATAACAGAAAGAGAACAAAGAAAATTTTACGGTAATGTTGCAGCATCAAGAATCAAATGTTGCAGCACTTTATACAAATATTTTTTAGGCAATGCTGCAGCATCCAAAAATCGAATATTGCAGTATTCAAGGTTGTTCTACAAAAGGGTCATTTCGGCCACCCTTCATTTTCAAAACTAGGGCACGGTTCCTTAAGAGGTTTTTCACCTTAAGTCTCATTCCAAACATAAAGGTTAGATGGAATGGTTGATTTATGATAGATTATGTTTGCTAACATGAATCTTAACATCCAAATGTGGATTCTTTCTAGAAACTTCATCCTCCTCAAGAATCTCCAAAGTTGGGAAATTTCAAGATTTGATTAAAACAAGGTAATCCAGCTACTACATTGTTATATATTGTGTTCTAATAAGCTTATAGAACATGTTTATAGAATGAAATTGGAGTTTAAAATAGAGATTATTGGAACCCTATTAATGGGTCTTGGAAATTGACTTTTGGGTAGAGAAAATGATGAATAGTGATGGGTTGATCCGAATTGTGTCGTTTTGAGTTTCCAACGAAGCGACTAGACTCCATAAGACATTTAATGAACGGATTGGAGTTAAAACACAAGAATTGACATCCAAAGGAAAAATGTGGATATCTCTTAGAATCTTTGGGAATTAAGCATAAGTGTTGGACACTTAGTTGATGGAATTGGCGTTGTTGTGATATGATGTTGATAAATATGAATTCATACGTGTAAATTCAAATCATTTGTGTCAATCGGCTCGTTCTTAGACAATTGGAGATAATGTTAACTATTAGAAGGGCATACCCAAGGTATGTTTAGCCGAACCTTTACAAAGAATTGTTTCTTCAAAACTCCATGTCTTCCAATGCATGTCTACATCTCTAACGGTTTCTATTCACAAAACATAAATGTATGATTGTATGGGACAACTAATCATGCATTATCCATATGTTATAAAATAAAAATACCCAAATGTTATGTTTCACAAAGTATTGTGACTATATGTGTTAACGAGATTCAAATGAACATGACAATATGGTTTTTTTTAAAAATGACTATGATTACGAATGTTTCACGTTTTACATGAAAAGGAACATGGTGTTAAAGCTTTCCATGAATATGAATATGACTTTAGCTTTCAAAAGATGAATGCAATGACTACGAAATAAAAAGAGAATGCTTGTGCCTATTGAGCATAATTTATAGATTATGACTAAGGGCCAAAGGGTGCCGACTACAGTGAAAAGGCCAAAGGTGCCAATACTTTTATGAAGGGCCAATACTTTTATGAAAGGGCCAAAGGAATAATATAAAAATATTTTGGGAGTATATTTAGAGAGCCGAGAAGGTATTGGTAAGTAAATCCAACACCCGAAACTACACGTTCCGGTGTAAAACTCTGGTTGTACCGTGGCTTGGACTGGACGGTCAGATACTATGGTCGTACGGTGGCTTGGACTGGGCGACTGAAATTGCTAGCAAACTAAAATCGATCCACACAACATTGTGATGAGATGGCTTAGCCGATTGGGCCGAGATCGGACTCCATATCGTACACATGGTGGTTTAACGAAATGTCAGTACTAATGAACTGCCACCAAAAGTTATAAGTTTGTTTATAGATTCAAACTTAATTATGGATTATGAAATGATTTCAATTGCATATGGATCTTAATGAAAATATTGATGAAATTAATTATTCTTTTAAATGCATAGTACCTCTTCATGTTCCCGTTGTATGTTCTTGTCCTATTTTTATGTGAGGGAATTGATGATGCGTAACAGTACTTTTCAGTATGTACTTACTCTGGCCGGATGCAGGTATTGATACTTTTGGACGGTGTAGATCATTGTTAAGCAACTCCCTCACTTCTCTAGCTCATGGTGAGCCCGCTACTTTCCTAGTGGGTATATTAGAGTCTAGTTGATTTATGCATTTAAGTAATCCTTGTCATAGAAGCTCCGTGTACATTGTGGGTCATGTATTGATGTATAGAATATAGTCATGGTAAACATGAATCTATGTATAATGTTTTGAAAGGTTTGGGGCGTGACAATTAGAACAAAAACTTAACCGATGCCAAAGTTGCTCAATTTCAGGGGCAGATTTTACCCTTTTCCCTTTCATATATACAGAGATCTAAGTTGAAAGCAGTGCACTTGCACCTGATGTCAAAGGTTGGACCCTACCATGCACAAAAATAATATTGATTTGAGAATAAATTAGGGTTTAATCAAACCTGCAAGTTCCTTCGACATCTTTCATGAGTTTTGAGACGAGCTTTTCCCGAAGGTCACGGCCAAAGTGACGAGGATGCAGCTGCATGTTTCTCTCCAATACTATGTGAAAAAACATGTTTGCTTTCAAGAAAGAGTACAGAAAGCAGAAGCTATAGTTGGCGTATGTTGTCTTTATGCGCGACGGTTGAGCGAGCAAGCGACAGTCTGCGAAAAACAAAAGAGGCAAGAAGATTTGCTAATGTTATGTTGGGCTTGGGAAAAGACTACGGGTCGGGTTATGTGAAATTCTTAGGCCCAACGGAGAACTCTCACTCTCTCGAGTTCCCCCTTCCCCCCTCTTCAAAGTTCAAAGTTCAAACACACTCTCAAAGTTAAATCAAGGGACATTTATACAGTATGCTTAGGCGGCCAAAACAATTACGCGTAAATGTCCATTTAAATAATACTCCATTACACTCCATGTTATAAATTGAATTGTATTTAAGGTGAATGTCTATATTTTAGAGAGATTTTAGGGTTTATTACTTGGTGGCTAAGCCAATTTTTTCCTATAAATAGAGGGGTTATATTCCATTACAATTCATACCAAACCAATAAAAATTTTGTCTCTCTACTTTTCTATGCAATATTCTTCTTCTTTTATTATTTTATAACGCGTTATCAGCACGAGACTCTAATCAATTGAGTAGAGGGCGGTTGTGTTTAATTTGTAGATATACTATTAATTAGTTGTCTAATGTTTGAGAAATTAAACCACCCGCGGAGAGAAGATATAGGAATTTGCGTGAATGCATTGATATTCCTATACTAAGCATCTACTTTGATCACCGGGCTTTTGGATACATGTGTGATGCTCAACTTGTATATAATATTGAGCATAATGATTGTCGATTGATACAAGAACTTTCTTCATGAATAAATTCTGGATTTAAGGTAAGTATTTTGCATAAATTTTCTCTTTTAAATTCTTGAGATTCTATAATTTGATTTAAAATACAAGTAAAGACAATAAATTTTGATTATAATTCTAATAGAGTTTGTAAGAAATTATAACCATTCAAAGTGGCAAAATTTCTATGTCTTGCCATGATCAAATTCATGTATGATTATGAGGACAATAAGTGGAAATCCGTCCCATTGAATTTGCTTCATTCTCGTTCCCTTAAGAGAATATGGTAGTAATATATAATAAGTCTGAAAGAAGACAAAATTACTGCCGCAAAGGTATTAATGGATGTGGTCGTGGCAATAGACGAAATTATAATCGTCATCATTGTGGTAATGAGAACAATAAGGATTCTCAAAATAATCCTTCACTCTGTGAAAGTAATATTTGTCATCGATTTGACATGAGATTTTGTAAAGCACATATAGATAATTGTGATCCATTCATGATGTGAATGTGACAACATGTGATTTATGAATACATATTCATTCTTGAAAGAATATGAACATGCTAGTGGTAGTGGATATATCACACTAACCTCTAGAAAGAATAATGGTCATTGATCATGTACCTATTGTAATTATACCAAAATATTATGGCAATGTGATTATTACAGGGCAAAAGTAATAGACGCAACATATCTTACCTATAATAATGTTGACCATGACCATAATGGTATAACTTTCTCCTTGAAAGAAATATTCACCATATGGATGTTGATAAATATGTGGTAGTACAAAATCAATTGAAAGCTCTGAAAGAGCCAATTATACTATTTTGGATAAATAAAATTGATTAGCAAAGAAACTTATTTAGTTTCTAAAGTATTCGCGAAAACGGTTGGTTAAATTGAGACTATAAATAAAGGAAAGATTTAATTTATTTTATTACTACAACTTGTAACGGGTAATATGTATGTGAAAAGCTACCCGCTTTATTCTCTAGTTTGTACTACACAAATAAAAGAATAGCACAAAAAAGTAGATATTTATTGATATAAAAACTCATATCATAATAAACTTGGAGTATTTTTATAATTCCACACGTCATAGTGTAAACCTGAAGTTTATCAATATTAATAATTTATTCAGTTGACACAATTGGTTTAGCCATATTAATTTAATTATGATGTGCAAAAATAAAAGAGAATTCACATTGGTAAATATTAAAGAACTAGAAAGTTCTTTACGAATTCTCTTACATTGCTTGTTCTCATTAATTAATAGACCAACTAAAATTGGAATTGAATCCCATGAATACGGAAATATCAAAAGTGAATATGGGCTCATTCACCTGCATGTATATAATATAAGATGCATCTATGAGATGGTTACATGTGCGTTTATTATCAACCCGCAACTTGAATGCTAGGTTTCTTGCTCAATAATTTAATTTAGAGCATAATTTTCAAATTTTCTATCCAAGACAATTCATCTTGATAAGTTAGTTTATATCACTGTTAGTTTAGCAAAATGATCTATTGAGTGCCTCCACTTAATAGCTAAACTATTTCTTATGAGAATAAAGTTTTATATATATATATATATATATATATATCCGTTTGATATACATTATATACGAAAGTATAGTACATTCTCCTCTCACAAGTGGTTCAGGGTCAGGAATCAAATAATTATATCTTATTATTATTGATGTGCGGTGTATATTTTGATTAACACCATAACGCACACATGTGAATTTTCAAAATTGAGGAAGCAAGTTAGTTTTTCTAACATAAGGGGGAGACAGAATAAATAATTGAGAAAAAGTTACATGGAATGAATTATCATTTGTATATCTTGATATTCGAATAAGATAATATGAACTTGAAGTTCATAAAAAGATAATTCATCTGCAATATATTGCAAAGCATGCCAAACGCATTTCCTGACCCAAATAAAGTAACTATATTCTCACTACAAATGCTCCTATTAGAATAAATCCTAGAAGGACAAAGTCTATGGTACGCTTAAAGCGTATAGACAAATCGATTTCAAATAAAATTCTTAATAAAGAAAATGAACAAATGATCATAATAAGGAGGCAAGTGATATAGAAGATCACATGACATAATACTTTATAAAATTTCAGGAGAGGTTCAGGTACCTTAAAATATGAATGAAGAGATCTCTATGTTATATCTTTATAAAAAAATATTGGAACCGATATAAAATGTTCGTCAACGACATCTATGATAACACTAAGTATAGATGGGGATCTTAAGTCTGTCGAAAACAGACACAAAAATATTGGCCAAATGAAAGAGACACAATTCGAATAGAATTTGTTTCATATGAAAGACATGAAGTTTTAGACTTGTAGTTCAAACACTTGAAAGTATAAAGTCAATAGAGTGTGCAATCACTTTTATCGATCTTATATGTCTAACATGACATAAAAACTTGATATGCATCGAACGTCTATCTATATGGCTTTTACGACTTAACTTATATGACTATCTCCGAAGGATTTAAACCGCTTAAAGCATATACAATTCTTGGTCCTGAAGTACCATACCCTAAGTGCAATTTGTGCGCATATATATCTTGCTATAACTATAAGCATGATAATGTAATAGCGAGAATTTTTACCTCGATGGAGATATTGAAAAAGTCATTCCAAGACATTATATGAAGACATTACATATATATCAAGAATGATGATTTCAAGGTGAAACATATTCATTCAAGTTAATATGGCTGATTTGTTTAACAAATATCTACCAATGATCTTTTGAAGATGGTGCACAAGATTGGAATGCGAAGGCTCAAGGATGTGAATTGATGTTCTTATCAGGGGGAGTTAATACACGTTGTACTCTTTTTTTCTTACAAGGTTTAGTCCCACTGGATTTTCCTTGCAAAGTTTTTAACGAGGCAGCCAAAAGGCGTATTGTTAGATATGTGTACTCTTTTTCCTTCTCTAAATTTTTTTCCCCACTAGGTTTTATTTTAGTTAAGGTTTTAACTGTTACACCCCATGTTTTTGTACATGAAAGTACGCCATAAGTAAGTTGATATAAGCTCGGAAATGAGATGTTACATCCCGCATTTTCGTACGTTAAAGTTTCGTCGTAAGTTAATCGACGTAAGCTGGGGAATGAGATTGTTTCGAGATTATAAGTATTGCGCTATTTCAAACAAGTGATAAATAAATTCGTAAAGGTAAGAGGGTAAGAGAATCGAAGGAAATGAATTTCGTCGAAGTTTGACATTTTGGGATAAAATACGGTCCGAGCTAAAATACTCGGTATTTATGGACTAGTGCCATACAAGGTACCATATAGCTATGATAGTAAGGTTTATAAAGTATATTAAAAGTGAGCAGTATTTTATGTAATTTGGGATAATTCTTAATTTTGTGGGTAATTGATTAATTATTAAACTAGTGGGGGAATTAATGAATTAATTAAGAAAAAAAGGTGGATAATTGGATAAGTAAGGGGGGTTCACGTGGCAGCACCCCTTAAATCATATGTATGACTATTTAAGTCACTATATTAGGTGGCAACGTAACTTATCAATTTCAAGACACCTAAATTCTAGGATCTTAAATAAAAAGCAACACTTTTCATTCTCAAACACACATCAGACGTGAGGTTTGGAGATTAGCAAAGTGACTTTGTTACAAATTGTTACAAATTTCGTGGAAATTCCTACAAAACATTAGCAACATGATTTTGATTCTTCAACCAATTCCTACACCAAATAATTTCAACGAGAATTATTAGAAGCTTAACAACGTAAAAAATTGCGTTTCTAAAAGAGTACGGTGCAACCTTTTTCAAGAATATCATACAAATTTTTTCCTACTCCAGGTATGTTAAGGCTATCCCTTCTTTCTTTTTGGCATGATCTATATGACACAAACGAAACGAGCAAATGCACAATTCTCATATATGACTCTATTCATAAAAGTATTAGAGATGCCTATGTTCTTGAATTCCCATATGTCTCATTGT